TGAAACTGCCAGAGTGGCGGTGGAAGATTGGACCATGTGATGGCCTTGTGTGTGGGGGGGCAAGATCTGGGAAGCTTTCAGATCCGGGTTTTCCCAGATGTGCCAACATGGCTCTCTTAATAAATTGGAACTTTGAGGAATGCTTTGCCTCGGACTCTGATTTAATTTCGGATGCTATTTGAAACCCTGACAGTGGGTTGGGGTGAGAGAGAACAAGTGGCCCAAAGCCTAAGGCAGGTCCAGAACTCGCCCTCTCCTGATTTCTTAATTAATGTTTCTTAATCCCCAGGCCAAACTGCTCAGCCTCACCACTCCTGCGCGCGCGCACACACACACACACCTACCCCAGGAACAATGGAGCTCTTTGCTGCCTACAAAACAGCTACTTTGCCTTGGATTCAAATCAGCCAGCCAGGCAAACAGCATTTGCAAACCTCACTGTCCGCAGCCAAGTCACACTTACGTGGCATTCTCCATGCCACAAAACAACCATTTCAGTGGCTCACCTCACCACAGCACTAACGTACGTTCGAAACCTCCATCTATATAATGCCCTAAAAGGTTGTCACTCAAGAGTGCTTTAAATAAATAAATTATTCGCTATTATCCTTCTCATCTTTCTTACTTCCTTCTCCTATTGATCTCTTATGATTTCCAGCTCAGGCAGGAAAACCTGTATCTCTGATGGCAAAACATATGGCACGCGGGCCCGAAGTGGCATATGGAGCTATGTCGCCTGGCATGCATGCATGGAGTTGCCTGTTCCTCTCTCAGGTTTTTGGTGTGCATGCACATGCGACGATCAGCTGGCCTTTGTGTGTGCGGCAGTGCCGGAAACCGGAAGAGCTGGTCTGCCATTTCCCAGCATAAGCATCTGCACCGGTCAGCTGATTGGCGCATGCGCGGCAGTAACCAGAAGACTGTGCTGGAAACTGGAAGGTCATTTTCCAGTATGCACATGCCCCCTTGGGCAGCTCCTCTTCCTGTTCACAGCGTAGATGAACGCGAAGTGCTCCCTTTTCGACACTTGGTGCCAAAAAGGTTTACCATCACTGCCCCCTATCATATCAGACAAGAGGCTGTCCAGTCTCTTTTTGAAAGCCTCCAGTGATGGAGCATCCACAACTTCTGGAGGCAAGCTGTTCCACTGGTTAATTCTTCTAAATGTTAGGATTTTTTCCTCTTTAATTCCAGGTTGCTTCGGTCCTCGATTAGTTTCCATCCTTTGCTTCTTAGATCTACTTTTCCCAGCCAATAGTCCAGAACCTGCCCCACTGCCCACTGTCTCCCCATAAATATCTTTCCAGGTGGCCCAATCCGGTTCTGCTCTGCATTCTTCCTCAGGTCTAAAAAGCCCATCTTAGTTTTCCTTCTGTTTAAAATAGATCCATTTTTTACCCATTGTATTCTATTGTTGTGATGGATGGCCTTACAGGGGCAATAAAGATTTGCTTTTGGATTTACCTGGCTGTGAAATTTAGTTTCCAACTGGCCATTTTTTAAAACTGAATTTCATTTAGTTTTAACTATCCAGAGTTGTTGAGTGAAGGGTAGTGGAAATTTTTAATAAATATATAGTTTTAAATGTATTGATACTGCTATTAACTGTTCTACATTTAATTAATAAATAATTTGTTTTTAAAATGTTTTTGAAAATATCCCTGCCTTAAGGCCACTTAAAACACTCAAAGTTTCTAAAATATTTCAAATAAAGAAAAACAATGACGTAATTAATGGCTTTGGAGAAGTTCAGAAGTATAATATAAATCAATCAATGAACAAATTGAATACGAAGGGAGATTAAAGGTCTAATGACTCCTCACAGTGCTGTTTTGTATTATATTTTATTCTGACATCTGTCAATCTCTGTCACCACAGACCTTTGAAAAGTCTTTGAGACCCACTCATTTCCCACCAATTTTTTTGAGCTGTGATCTTACAGATTGCCATAGTTTACTGGCGTCAATCTGTTAAAAAAGAGAAAAATATCTGCTTCATTGTTGTCACATATTAATTATTTTTACTTGTTTGCATTTTTATTTAAGTATGTTAAATAAACCAAGACTGGGACATCTTACTGTATCAATCAGAAAGGAACATTTTCTTTCCTAAATAATTAACTTTT